GACTACCAGCCACTAGGGGACCACTTGGCCATTGATAGCTGGGGGTCTCCAGGTAGTTGATCAATTCACTTACCTTGGCGGCTACATAAGCACCCATGAGTGCATAACCATTGACGTCAGTTCACTTATTGCAAAATCTAGAATTGTCTTTTTGAATCTGTGGCTTCAGAAAGTGGTTTCCCTACGTCTGAAAGGCCATGTTTACAAGGCCACAGTGGGGGTCGCCCTAATTTATAGCAGTAAGTCTTGGTCTCTCGGGTCTTAGGATTTGAGGCGCCTCCAAGTGTTTGATTCTCATTGTCTGCCAAGCATTGCTGGTGTCGAATGGCACCAGCGTGTTCGCAACGATGATGTGCTTAGGCGAGTACTAGGCAAAGTTAATCAGGCCCGTTCCCTAGGACAACAAATAGCAATGGATTATTTGCGTTGGTTTGGGCACGTGTGCCCGGTCACCGCCTACCAAAGAAAGCCTTGTTTTGTTTGCCAGATGTACGGTGGCGCAAGGCCCGAGGTTGGCAAAAATTAACTTAGCAGCGTGAAATGAATTCACTGACGACTAAACTCGGTGCTGTCGGTCCGTCTCGCCTTCCAGGCTAGAGTCCACGTGACCCGCCTTGTGTTTAGCTCGAGACGTTACAGGACATGGCTCGCAGTCGACACCGGTGGCGTGTCTACTGTCGTCTCCTAGTCTGATTTACTGTTTACAGTGTGTTTGGTGCTGAGTTATCTGCGGAGTAATGGCTGATTATGACGCGGGGTAGTGAAAGCCACAAGGAACCTGTCTCGCCGACACCGCACGATAGCCAGCTATTTGTGACCGTATGCTCTTGACAAGGTGTGGTCTCATTGACCCTGCATGTTTGAGATTTTCATACTGTATGATGACCACCCAGGTGAAATTAACCTGGTAACAAGCCACCAACTCGTGCTTTGAGGTCTCCTGCGAGAACAACGACCTCCGCTTTGGCGGTTTTATGTAACAGCTGATGGCCTTGGTGATAGAAATCGTCCTTGATTGTTCCGTAGCAGCATAAGCGCAGCAGCACAGCGCATAAGCGGAGACCACAAACAGCTTGTGCCTTCTGACGCAATGTTTGTTTACATGAGTCTTGAAGCCGAATTGCACATGGTCGGTTGTTAACCGGAAACCAATCCAAGACCGCGGCTTTGGCTTTACTGCTTATTGCCCCGCCAACACCGGCCAAACCAGCTGCAGCTGTTTCCGCGTCGCCAGACAAATACTGGTTGTTTGTAGCTTCTTGGTTGGTTGGGGATGTCAATTTTAGCACATTGCTTGGGTTTTGCAACCATGCTTCCGAAAGGCAGCAGACATCAATAACGAGAGTATTCAGAGTACTTATCAAACTGGCCTGTTGCCCAATCTGCATAAGCTTCCGAAAATTAAAGGTTGCCAGTCGAAACGAACATCGGGGTCGAAGGATACCGTCAGGCCAGACCTTCGGGGCAGTGGCGAAACCGACATCTTGATTAACTCGAGGGCAACAAGTATTCATAACAGAATAATGCTTGGTGTGTGATGGTTAGGTAGAAGGAAATGGAGTCAGGAACAAGAAGGTGTGGCGAATTGACAGGAATGTGTATGCTTTTTGCAGAGAGCGCCGTAATACCCGGTTGCCCAGGCCGAAGTAGGGAGTTGACTTAGGGGACCCCACCCCGAGCTCTTGACTCAACAGCTTACCTGCAAGGCAGCTGTGCGAACTCGCGGAATCCTGCCTATTGGAAGCCGGTGACCGATCTCGGTTCATACGTCTTTTGTTTGGTAAATTGCCAAACGAGCTCAATCCTCCCCATGAAAATAGCATTCAGTTGCTAGGATGCGATGCTCCGTCCGCGTGAAGCAAGGGGCAGTGACTTTATTTACTGCCGAGTCACATCCGCTACGTCGCAGTGTTATTAAGCAGATATATGTGGCTTTTATAAGGAGAACGCTTTCCAGATGAAAGCCCACCACCTCCTGAAACACTGCCACCGAACCATTTGTTGGAACCGGATAAACCCGTATCATCCAGCCGGCACCATGGTGAGGTTGTTCGGCAAGCCATCGGTTAAGTCATAAAGGAGGATTCTGAAGAGCTTATGATCAAGCACGGACCCCTGTGGAACATCACCGGTCTTGAACTCCGGTAGTGGGAGTGCTTTGTTAACTTCCACTCGCATAGTATGGCCTTCTGGAAAATCAGCGATGCACTCAGTGTAACCAACTGGTAGACTTATGTTACACTGACGGTACATCTTTGAATCTGACTGTGGTCATATGAGAACACTACTAACTGGACTAGAACAGGGGGTGCACGCTTACTTTGGGTTCTTCACGTTTATTGGTCGGTCTTCTGGATCCCTCCGCAACTTCTCACTGGTGTAATTACTCCAGGGCGGAGCTTCCTGTACTTTACCATCTATGATGCGGACCTATGAAACGCATCATAAGCCACTTATAACTAAATAAATAGTAGTGCATGTTGTGATTTGGATCAAATTTTTGAAGGGGATACGTCACAACCGCACTCGGTGGGACATCTCATGTTCCATCTTTTACTACTGTCTAAACATCAGTAGCTGCCCAAAGTAGCCCATACTACCACCAGACCTTGGTTGCTCAACAAGCAAAGTCGCGTCTCAGGGAGCCAACCCTGTCCTGTGCACATTGGAAATCTACATTGCATTAGGAGATGGGTGTCGCACTAGATAGATAGCTACCGTTCATCCTTCGTCTCCCATTGGTCTTAACCACCGGACTCAAGAGTGCGATCACCGGTTTTAGCCCCACAGCTGACCAGTGGAATGCACACTGCTGGCGATTCTAGCAAGGATGAAACAGTCATGCAGTACTTTACAGTTGTACACAGTGATTGTGTTGAGGCGTCTTCTGAAATAACTCGTTTATTTCTCCACTTAACGGGAGACTACGCCTGCGAGGATTAAAGTTCAGTTTTTACATTCTCTTCACGCTCCGCTTGTGAGCATTCAAGCGACCGGGTAAACTACGCGCTGCTATGATCGTTTGCAACAAAATTTGCCAAGCTCAAAGAACAGTTCAACCGCCATCTGAACAACCTGAGCTACCAGTTTTCATTTCCTTGGCCACTGCTATGATCATTATCGTCAATATCACTGGACTAGTTAAATACTCGCTTGGCATTTTTTGACGACACGGTATTCAGCTTCCACGTCCGCTGTGAACTGGATAGAGTATTCCGATGGTGTTGGGAATTTGCATTATGCGGTTGGGATATAAATACCATTGTCCATGTTGATGTGGGAAATTGGATCCTGTTTTTAGTTTTTCTTTTTTTACCAACAGTGTTGCTCGGGTTGCGCTTTTTTCTTTATTACTAACTGACTTGTTTTTTTTTCTTTTCAGGTGGAATTCCATCAACTATGTCGGACTTATCCGATGCCGATGACTATGTGCCTTATGTTCCTATCAAAGAACGCAAAAAGCAACAGGTTCCGTTCCTTTCCAGTTTTATTGTTTTGAATCCTTAGGTGTCATTGATCGCGCTATTTTTGCTTACTTCCTCACGTTGTGTATTTATCCATGGATCCTCTTTTGTTCTATGCTATCCAGTCCATTTCACTTCGGAATCCCTATTAGGATTCATCGAGCCTCAACCCCCTTGGATCCTAAACGCTGAAGCAACAATTGTGGTTCAGTCCGTCAACCGTTAATGCGAAGTATTTGCTTATCGTTGTTCGCTGCACTTCTCTGGTTGCTTCCAGTGTGCTTCAGGAAAACTGGATTTCCTCCATTTCATCTAGGGGACTTGATGCGTATCCCGTGGTTTTTCCTTTTATTTGAATAGTATTGCACACCCAGCTCAATAGTAACGAGAACTTTAAAATCAGATCAGGTGATGCCTGATTATGTTTCGGTTTTTCATCCCTTGCGTGCTTCCATTGGCCTCGCAGCTCGTCCTTTCCTTGTGCATCTTCATAGTTAGAACTCTAGATGCTTTACGCTACACCCATCTGTTCTTCTTTATTAAAGGTTACCATGGTAACCGATGCATTGGCCAGGTTTCTCAACTTTATTTGGCATAATTCACTTTACAACGGGGTTTGTGTCGATGAACAATATTTCGAAAGCAGCACCGTTCGTTCCAAGCACTCTGTTTTGTATCTCCGTATTCCTTGTTTGATGCTTACGCCACACACTAATCCTCCACAATCAGCTGTAGTCTCCCCCAACTGTTCCGAGCGAACAAGACCATGCTCACCACACTCTTGAGCTTGAAACTCACATCGTGACGACAACACATGTGTCAATCTAATGAATGCGGGGAAGACTTTAGCATTTTTCCCAATGCTTCACCATCAATATCACCGTAGGTTAGAGAAATTATCGAATTGTCCCCGGTTTTCGCTCGCATTAATGGGACTCCAGGTGTTTGGTTAACAACTTTTAACCCAGTCTGCGAACAACCACTTGCTGTCCAATTGCAGCGAGTTGTCAGTGCACAGTGCTGATGTACTGCTGCTCCCTACCCCCTTTCTTACCTACAATAGTGTGAGTACATGCACAGAAACCTGCCATTTCTGATCCAGCGCCTCAAACTTGGATGGGGCAAATAGCAAATTGTAATCTGATACCTTCATATTGCCATAGGGCAACTCAGCTCCCTACTTCCGAGCACTTGAAACATATCACCCAACGTGACCCGCTGAATCCATTTTGTAGGCAAATCATCTCATCACTTCCATGCTCTTTCGCAGTATCGCTCTTCGCCTGCGGCTCGGTAACAATTCCCTCCAAGGAGCGCATTTCGGAACATTTGTTTCCCTTTCGGTCACTTTTGTTTTTTCCCTCGATCTGAATTAAATTGGCAAGCTCGTCGAGTGAATGATCGCATAGCTGACTGGTTTTAGCTACTATTTTTTTAGTTTTGCACTACTTAACGTCTATATTGAATGAGTGATTTCCAATATTATCTCGCGTCCTTTTTGTGTTTCATGTTTACTGCTCACGGGGTCACGTCAGATATTTGACACTTCGGTCCACCGCATTCAAGCACTCATATCATGCACAATGTATTGAATTGTCCGAGTGCAGGGAATCGCGCCCCTTATCACTGGTTTCCTGTATAGCTGGTGATAATGCGAACTAGCTCTCATCTTCGGTCAGTGACGCCCCAATTTATCATGCATCCACCAATGTCTCTGTTCTCATCCCACCTGTCAGCTGTTCTCCCTTCAAAAAATGCTTGGCAACCTTGCATACACTGAAGATCCTAAAGAAGATGAAGGCGATGAGGCGAAGAAGGAAGAAGTGTCAGCAGAGGAAGAAGGTGACGCAAAAAAGAAGCCTAAGGATGACACTGATCTGGGCCATGTTGGTCCAAATGCGCAGGGTAGCCTATTCGACCGTATGTGGGAGCTGAAGAAGAAGGCCGAGGGTATGTCCCCTCTACCAACTGAACAAAATAATACTCACCTAATTTTATAGAACGAAAAGAAACCGAACGTGACAAAAAGCTGAAGGTGGAAGCAAAGATTTTGGAGAGTGTTGCCGAGAAAACCGCTCTTATGGGTGTTGCTGAGTTAGCAAAAGGTATACAATATGACAAACCTATTAAAACTGGGTACGTACAATATTTATCTGATAACTTGTTTCTCTGGTTAGTTGGGCTCCTCCCTCTTATATATTGGCCCAGAGTGAGGAGAAATCTGATGCGATACGCAGAAAGTACCGTATTCTGATTGACGGAGAAGACGTTCCTGCTCCTATTCGCAATTTCATCGAAATGCGCTTCCCTTCTGCGTTGGTCCAACTTCTCCAAGCCCGTGGGATCTGCAAACCCACTCCAATTCAAATGCAAGGACTTCCAGCTGTCCTCAGTGGGCGTGACATGATCGGCATAGCTTTCACAGGGTCTGGAAAGACTATGGTCTTTTCCATTCCAATTGTATTGTTTGCCATGGACCAAGAGCAAAAAATCCCCTTTTTGCCTACTGAAGGACCGTATGGTCTCATTTTAGGGCCTTCGGTAGGTGTCATTATTCGATTATGGCACGTGTCGCTTCCGCTTCATTTTTGTGTTACTACGGTCCTTGTGTTGGGTTACTGTCATTTGTGTGTGAGAAACACCTCGAGACCGACTTTACCTCCAGCGGCTGCGTACTCCTTATTCATTTACCCGCCATTCGTTTGCACTGTTCCCTATCCGTACTGTTCTCCACGAGCTCTCACTGGTGACCATTTGCAGTACCAGGACCCTGTGGATATCGCCACCTTGCATATGTACCTCCAGGGTTTTATACTCTAGCCCACGCCTCACTCACTAAACTAATCGGTAACGTTTATTGTTGCACATGAGCTTTGATCACCCCACAGTTTCCTCAGGTACTCAGTCCTTTTCATTTAGACTATTAGAATTTCTTGGTCTGCTCACTCACGAGCTTTTAAACCGAATGTTGTAGTATTTCGGTCTAACTACGATAAGTGTATCTGATGCCTCTCTTCAGCTCTTTATCCGTGGCATTATAATGCGGATATTCATGGTGCCTTAGGATTGGTCGAGAGACGAATCTCTTTCTCGATATTCCTTCCATTTCGATGGTGCTTGGTATGTCTGATTAATCTGTCGTTGATAGATTTCGTGTTTGCTGGCATGCGACTCGATAGAACCCACTTCCGATACAATTCTGAATGTATCGCGTTGTCGCATTCATCCTTCGCTGTTGCTTTCCGTCAGTCAATGGAGTATCCATCAAACTGAGCACTGGTTTTAGTGAACAAGTCTACTAAACTCAGCGATCTTTTGAAACCCACTGACACACGCTACATTTCACCTTGCTCTCAACTCAGTTGCAGGAAGACGCTGTGGTGCTAAAGCATCAATGATAGTCTTTTCGTGTAAATCACTCGATTAGCCGTTGCACCCTCGGTCCTTTCTGTCGGTACGATACCCGCATTGAGGTATTGTTGGTTGCGGAAATGTTACCGTCGAGCGGACTAGAGCACCTTAGTGCCCTTTCGTCACTGTTCTACGGTCGCATCCATCTGATTCACTTGGATTCACACGCAAATGTTATTGATCCAGTTGACTCCTCATTCGCAGTAAATACTCAAGAATATCCCATTATTCGTGCGCCTGATTGTGTTCGGGTAGTCTAGGGGGACGAAGTGTTAAATCAGAGATTTCAGCGCTGCGCAGATGCTTCACCACCGAACAACCGCAAACGGCCGTACGCTGCTGTGATGTTGCAGATGTGTCCAAAACCTTGTGGGAGCCGCGACTATAATCCGAAAGTTAGCGATCATATGACAAACGACTGAACCACCGTACCACAGATCTCTCAAAATAAACGGAGCTGGGTAGTGACACCAACAGAATGTTCGATCAGCAAGATAGTTGCGGGTTGTTGTAATCACGAGACATTTGTCAATTACTATCTGAGCATCATTTATTAATGATTTGAGTTACCACACCCACTTCTACCCTACTTTTTTATTTGTCATACTAAACTACTGGTTTTAGAATTCGTCCCGAAAAGGACAAGACCGGACCAGCCACAAAACTAGGCGACCAATAGCAAGAGATAGATGTAAATGAAGACGCATATTGTATCTTTGACTCTACTGTCAACCGCTCTAATGGGCATTTCCCCGGGTTCCACTTTGAAAACGGTATAAAACAGTTAGTCTTCTGCTTTAGTAACACTTTACTTGCAACTCGGTGGTGTACGGGTGGTAACTTCCATTGGTAATCCCTACGTTCCGGGTTTCAGTCCATTTCCACTGCTTCTACCTGACAATTTCAAACAGGCCCAAAGCCTGTATTTCGAACGAGCACTAGGTCACACCTATCGACTTCTGTTCAAGCTTTTGGTCGGCTTCCTCGAGCCATCGTTATCTGATCACTTTGGGGACTTTTCTAGCTGTACCGTATACATAGCTGGGTAGGCGTAGCTGGGCAGTTGCTAGGCCACCAAAGCAAGTCCGTGTTTTGGTTCACCTGATTGCCGTAAATTTACTACCTTGCTCAAAGACCTCAGTAGAAAAGGAATCTAGTTGCTGATAGTAACGTTTACTCAACGAATTAATACAGTGCGAACGATTTTTCGTGGACATTAATGGGCCGCAACTAATATTTCTCATCGGACGTGGCACAATCATTAGCCCATTGGTGCTTTTGCCTTCGCTCTTCTACTTCTGGCCCCCAACTAATTCATACGCAATTTTCTTTCCTGACCATCTGTTTTGTTGTCGCCGTCGTTGCTGCCGCTGCCGCTGTTGTCGTTGTTATTTGCATGTGCTTCGTGGTAACTGGATCCACCGCGTTTCGGCGTTCGGATCCTAATTGGTAAACTGAACTGTATATTTGATCTTGTTCATCGCACTCCCCTCTTAGTCACGTAGATTCTCACACTCCTGGAAAAGTACTGCTGTTTTGACCTACTGGATCTCGTCCATATAGCTTCTAAGTGCTGTGTCCTTCTCACTCTCTATACGGAAAGTCGTAGTCCTGGGGCCAACCACGGTTTTCTGCACAGCTCCTAACTGACATGGCAGTGGAGGATGAGCCGCGCTACATCGTACTCAACTGACAGTCATCCAGGTCCGCCGCCGTCACCCATGGCTTAGTGGCATAATCTGCAGCATCCGGAAGTCATGGGGTCGGAATCCGACTGGAGATCGGAGAACGCGCATCACTGGCGAGACCCAGAATGTCGAATCAGCTGTTTGGCGCTTTTCCAGACGTGAGGGAACGTGCATGACTGTGAGGAGACTGCGACGAACTACATTTAAAATTACACCAGAAATCCCCACTACTCACCAGTAAACTATATATTGCTCATCTCTAACTTGTCTTCACTTATCTTCACAGTAACACCGATTACATCACAACGTTGGAAGCCATGTATTTGGAATTTGGTCACTAGCGGCAAAAGGTCATCAGTGTAAACGAACTTATCCACTGTTTCGAGCGATTCTTCGGTATCAGTTAAGACTAGTTAGTATTGAATTCGCCCACTCCAGCTACGCTTACACTCCGATGCTTGAAGCCGCGCTCGTCTTACTTTACTTTATTTTACCGAACCATATCTACATTCGGTCTACATTCGGTTTCCACTTCAAATCATGCAGTTTGATGTAGCCATTTCTGTCAAAAGGAAAATATGGTTTCCTCTAGTTACCGTACATGTTACGTTGAACTGAGCTGCTCCCTGGATCTTTGTGTCCCTCCGATTATATCCATGGAGTTCTCAGAATAGAGGAAATTTTCCACGACCTGCTATTCACTGTATATACATAACCACACCAGGTGTGTTCAACAAAATTGAGTGCGTTCTTCGCTTGAAGAAACCGCCTATAGTGAGTTGTTCGTTTGAAGCTGCACATTTAACTACCGAATGTCAGGTCCATAACTTCTTCTCCGGGGTGGACATCATTTTGGCTTCCACTGTGACGAACTTTTTGTAGCTTTACCTGTCTACATAATCGTTTTGGAGTGAAACTGCCGTGGCCGTTACCCCGTTGACCGCCAATTTGTAAGCATCTTCTCAATGTCTCTTGTTGTACTGTAAGTCGCTTATGTACCGACTGTAATTGGTTCGCCGTCATCTATTGGAGGCAACAGTAGTTATCAGGATTGTCGGTTTGTCACCTTCAAACATCATAAGTGTGTGTTGGAAATCCATGCTGTTGCTGGGTCATGGCGTCAAAGTCGGAGGATTGCTTGGGTGCTTTCGGTTGAGTTCAACACCTCAAGACTACCAAATAACTCGTCAATACGTCGTTAGATTGGAATTATATGCATCTTAGGCAGCTGTACCTACAAAGCTTTTCAAGGATCGCTGGTCTCTGCGAACTCGGTATATTGGTTTCTTGGCAGCATGTAAAGACTCTCACACTGTCGGCAATGTGCATCATAGCTCCGCAGTTTGGAAGCACTAAACTCACATATATTCCTGTTCACCTCTCGTTGCGCCGCACCACTGACGCTTCCTTGGTTCACTCAGTGAACCGTGCCAAGGCTCATGAGCTGTTCTTCACCATCAAGCTGATCAACATTCGCCGAATCTTCTAATAAAGTCGCAGCACGGGCTTGTTTTAATTGCAGGGTACCTGTATCTCGTCCTATGTTAGGACGTCCGGTAGAAGATGTCTCTGTGTGGTCACATATGACTAATAGAATGTCTGAGACACATTAGTATGTGTGACTTTCCGGAGTGGCTCACATAATGCAATAATCGAGATTTCATGTTTGCCTGCTCTTATCGTGCTACTGGTCCTGTGGTCTCCCTCCATTCATTAGTTGGCTTGATTAATTGAACTGTTAACCGTCACTGTCGTTTGATGCTGAAGCCACAGCTGATAGGTGAATCCTACTCCTTTCTCGCTTTCAACCGCAACTATTCGTGTCATCGTGTCCGTTCATTTGCACATTGGTGCGCTATACTGATGTTTCGCATCTACTAAGCTTCTGACCATGCTAATGACCCCTTCTCGAAGCATCAACGACTTTTCATCTTGAGTTTGTGCATGGAGAAAGATCTATCGGGTTTATGGTTATTGGTTGATACTTTTACTTTGATTCAAAAAACTTCTGCCCCCAATTTCCTTAGTAAACCTCCTCCTAGAATCCTCATTTTTCCATTATACATAAATGATTTCCCACTGCGTCATACTCACCAGACCGAAAGCAATCGCTGTGCGTAAGCTCATAGTGTCCCTCACGTTCATCTCAACTCTAAATTTTTCATCTTACTTTGTTGTATTCCTATCCTTGTGGTTCGTAGGTATGCGCTTGCTCATCCCACTCCACACTCGATCTCTGAGTGAATTGCTAAAACTACCATAAACCTATTGATAAATCATTTCTGCCCCTATTTGTCTTTCAGCGGGAATTAGCCCGGCAAACACACGAGGTTATATGTTTCCTGATCGATAATTTGGTCAAAGCCGGTTTACCGCAAATTCGTTGTAGCCTATGCATCGGCGGCACAGCTGTCAAAGATCAGGCGGATGCCTTTCGACGTTCAGGCGTACACATCCTTGTTGCCACTCCCGGCCGTTTAATCGACCTGCTGGAGCGTAAGATTTTCAACCTTGAGGTTTGTCGCTACTTGGTTTTGGACGAGGCAGATCGCATGGTCGACATGGGTTTTGAAGAGGAAGTTCGTACAATTTTTTCTTATTTCAAGGTGAGAACTTGTCATGCTTACTGTCTCCTTCCTTTTTGAACAAATTGAGTTCACTTTGAACACACCATGTCCCTGTACGGACTCACCGTTGTGATTCTCTGTCAACTATGCTGAGATTCCTCCTCGGCTTCTGATGATAACGCTCGATTGTATATGTGTTAGTTAGAAATGCAGCGAAATTTTTACGTTCTCCCCATTATTACTCGGTATAATGCAGTGTTGTGCGTCACCCAAATTTCTACCTACGTGGTGGGAACAACAGCCGGTGCTCTGGGTTTCTTCACTGTCAAATTGTCATGAATATTGGGACCTTCTTGCATACACACCTTTATAGGTCGAGCATCTATTGACGTTTGGATTCCTCACCTGCGTTATCCCTCAGATCATGATTTCTTGCCATATAGTAGCGAGACATTAGCACGAACTTTTGCTGTATTGCTTTTGTTGTGTATCAGTACTGATTGTACTGGCCATCACTCTTGTATTTCATACTTCATTGTCCTCATCCTCCACTTATGCGCCTTCTCTGAGGCTCGATTCAGCTGCACAGCTTTGGCCACAATGGCTCTATTGCGTTGTTAACCTGGATTCTCCTGTTAATGACTCATATGACTTTTCGGATTTTTTTAAACACACAGGGCCAGAGGCAAACGTTGCTGTTTTCGGCTACCATGCCCAAGAAGATACAAAATTTCGCCAAATCAGCTCTCGTGAAACCAGTCACGGTGAATGTCGGTCGGGCTGGTGCGGCAAGCATGAATGTCACGCAAGACGTGGAGTACGTTAAGCATGAGGCGAAGATTCCACACCTTTTGCAGGCACTGCAGAAAACTCCACCTCCGGTAAGCAGCACTCGGTAGCATATATATCACGCACCATCTTTTATTCCGCCACTTTTTTTCTCATCACTGCCAGCGATTATCATCTCACTATATTGCCTACTTCGGGACCCCCGGTTGCCCAGTGCCAACAATCGCTCATTTGCGTTCATCGACAACGGCTTGTGCCCTCTGAGCTACTTCACACAGATCAAATCTTATACGTTGATCCCGCGATCGGAGTGTTCATGTCGACCATCAGTAGGCTCTTTCAAGCAGCACTCCGAGTGGTTCAACTGACTGACCACTTATCATACTTGGCAGGTGATCCTAACGGTCACCGACTTGCCTACCTGGTCAGATCGGTTGGTGCCGTGTAAATAGGGCGTCTGGCTTGTAATCTGCCGGCTCGGCTCGGCTCTGCGTAGACCTGGATGACTTTGCAGCATCCCTATCCCCACACTAGACTGGCAATGGTGGTCGTGTAGCATAGAATCGTCGGCGCGAAGTCCCAGTGCATTGCTAGTACCCCTCTGTTCTCAGCCCATTTCTCGAAAAGTGTTCACTCGGGTTAAAACCACTCGTTCGCATCAGGGAGCTAGCCGCTGCGCTCCATACACTGGTCTCTACTTGGATAATGTTTTGTAAAGATACCCTTTCCTCTCATATGAACCGGGCTGCATAATCCCTTCTGCATTTCTCAACACCACACTTGGCATGTATCCTTACGTTTCTATGTCTGCTCTCCTTGCTTTTGACGTAATCCCACCTCGAAGTACCACAAGCCTGTAATCTAAGGGTGCGGGTTCGAGCCTGCGTAAGGACCGAGCGACTCTCGCCGCATCCTTAGCTCACGTACAACTATTGGCGGTTGCGCCGCAGCAAAGCGTCAGTACTACGTACCGGCGTACTGCCGATGTCTTTCTTCACACAGAGATACATCTTTTTGCTTCTTCCGTACCGTATTCAGTATTTGATCCCACAAACACAATGATCCAATCCTAGTCGGCGCGTCGAAATCGCATAGTCCCATGGCCATCATAGGATTGCGCAACTTCGAACAGTGCATAGACTTACCCTTGTCTGTTGAGTGAATCATACCATGTTACCTCCCCCTGCTATCGCCAAATGCCCCTTTCTAACCATACCTATCGATCGTTTAATGTATTTTGATGCTGTCAAAGCTACATCTCCTTCAGGAGAAGCTTCATCTCCTTCAGCTTATCAGTATTGGAAGTAAGCAAATGCGCGAAAAATATTCTTTTCGATAATCCTCATCTGGTGTATACAATTATGAAGCAAAATATCGGCGAGAATAAAGCTCGTAAAGACTTGTACAGAAAGCAACCAACTCAATTACTGGACAGTATGAAAACTAAATCAATGGTTTGATCAATCAGACTGTCGCATTAAGAAGCACGTGATCAAGGCATGTCATGTGTCAACTTCAAGGCCAAGGCAATTTCAGAGCCTGTAACAATGTGCGCTGTTTGCACAGCTCTGGTTTCAGAATCTTGATTGCAGTGACTTCAGAAATGCTCCACAGATGTTTCTTAGGCTGTTATTGGTAGCGTTTAAGGATGGTTTAAACGACTGGTTCATCTGGACTTGATGTCCAGTGTCAGCCAAGTGTTGTAAAACGGACTGTTGCTGAATTTTACGGTGCCTTTTCGTATTGACGCAGGACAATGTTCAACGATTCTTTTGGACAAACACCTGGTTGTATGTCCAAGATACCTAGCACCACAGGTGCAGGTGAACTGGTATAAAACAAACGATTCACGGGTTTCACGGATTTGCGCAGAACGAGTAAGCGTAGCTTTTCGGTGGTTCTGCCTCGGGATCTAACGGCAAGGTCCTGATCTCGTCGGTAGGTACCAGATGTTGTGGGTCTCGACGCAGTAGTGGTGTTCAGCACAAGTATTCAGCGAGTTGACTGTGGGAACGTGGATACCTGGAACAAGAGAGTGGTGTAGGTAAATTCGGCAAAGTTGGATAGAAGCAAAATGATAGAAGCGCCGCGTGTTAGCTTGGCAAATGGCCAGGTCTTAGCAGCGTGGAAGACCAGCGAGGTAAGAGCCAAGCGTCTAGGCGCTGTTTGAAGGCCTCCGTATTGGGCGCTGAGACAACAACTTCAGGGAGGGCGTTCCAAGCGAAGGCAATACGCACACTGAACCTGTTTCTTCGGCACAGAAGGCGACTGCTACGAGTCATCAGTTTGAGTGAGTGCCCTCGAAGATGATCTGTACGGGCGCGGACCAGCAATCCTGCGTTTGGGTGCCTGTTATTAGTCAGGACGGAATAAGCTAAGATAAGGTCGCCACGAAGCCTGCGATATTTCAACGGGAAGAGGTTAAGGGCCTCCAGACGCTCCTCATACGAGAAGTGGGATAGTCCGTCCACTCTCTTAGTGGCTCTGCGCTGTGCAGTTTCCAGCATGGCCTCGTCCTTCTTCAGGTACGGCGGCTGGACAAATATGTTGTACTCCAGCACCGGACGTACTAAAGTGCTATAGTGACGGACAAATGTCTCTCTAGGGAAAGACCCTAGTGCACGTCCAAGGAGGGCCAGGCGAACGCTAGCCTTTCGCGCCAGTGTAGCTACATTGGCGCTCGGGCTCAGGTCGGCGGATATTATGGTCCCCAGATCGCGTTCCTGGGATGTGGCTTTAAGATGCACACCGCCGATATTGTACGGATTAGCCACACCTTGCCCAATGTGCATGACTTTGCACCTGTCGATGTTAAACGGGAGCGAATTTTTCGAGGCCCAAGAATAAGCAGCATCGATATCTGTCTGGAGAAGTGCCTGATCACTTGGCCTGCGGATAGGTCGCCATATCTTAGCGTCGTCCGCATAAAGCAGTATGTGGCTGCTGATACAGGATGGGAGGTCGTTGATGAACAAATTGAACAGCAGGGGCCCGAGGATGGATCCCTGGGGCACCCCGGTCGTTGCAGCCACAGCGCTGGAGATTGCGCCGTTTACACGAACTCGGTAGGTGCGGCCAGACAGGTAGGTACTTAGCCAGCAGATTGTTTGCTGGTCGATCCCCAAACTCGGCAGTTTACTCACCAGCAGTGCGTGATTGACCCGGTCGAATGCTTTTGAGAAATCCACGTGAACCACGTCAGTTGGAGTATGATTGTCTGCCTCTGCAGTCCAGGAATCAAGGGCTGCGAGAAGATTCGTGGTGCACGAGTGAGCCCTGCGGAACCCGTGCTGTTCCGGGGCTATTAAGGACAGACTTTCTAAATGGCAGCGCAAGAAATCGTCTATGATACTCTCCATTACTTTGGAGGCAGTGAGAAGCAGTGCTATCGGGCGATAATTAGAGGGGTTTGTCCTGTCACCACCCTTGTATATCGGCGTTATGACCCCTTGCTTCCAAGCATTCGGGTATTCGGTACTGGTGTAGGAGCGGCTGTACAGTAAGGCAAGCGGCTCGGCCAGTACCGTAGCGCACTCACGTAGAAAAATGAGAGGGATCCCATCCAAACCCGGCGATTTGTCTGTCCTTAATTTTTTTAATTTCTCCAGGACTTTCTCTGATGTAAACTGCACGGGATGTCTGGCAGCGATGGGGGTAAAATTAGCGCCTTCCATTGTACTGCGTGCGAAGGTGCCGAAAACGGACTCGTACTGAGTCTTCAGCAATTCCGCAGCTTCTTTGTCCGACGTTGTGGTATTGCCTACGGGTCTGAGCAGGCTGCCAACGGCAGTGCGCGATTTAGTGAGAGACGCTATATGCTTAAAGAAGATCTTGGGGTTATCGGCGAAGCTTTTAGCGAGAGAGAGCTGGCACGCTTTTCTGTCCTGGCGAACAGCTGCTATACAGGAATTTCGGACCGAACCGGGAGTTTATCCTTTAAGCGTTGAAGAATCAATCATCTTGTTTCGGCAAGTATTTTAGATTGGCGATTGGAAATGTCTTGGCCACTGCCGTCGAGATTTTTCTATTAAACAGTTCGAACGCGACGTCACCTTTAAAGGGAACTGTAAGGAATATATCCTTTTTGGGCACTGTAGTGACACACTTGACAGACTCAAGCTGTTTGGAATGCTTTTTGATGTAAGACACAGGGTACTCATTTTTTGTAGCTTTTTTAAAGATGAGCTTGGTTTCGCTTTCCAGCGTCTCTGTACTGCAGACTGCTCTGGCACGATGGTATAAGCAACGGACTGAATTCCTCTTGTATCTCAGCGGTACAAAGCTAATAAAGTGGGTGTGTTGACCTACCCACGTTGCTTTGCGAGAAACACTCCTTTTGATTGTCCTGTTTTCACGCCGATTCGATAGAACGTCTAAGAAAACCAAGCAGCCATCTTGCTCAACCTCACTGGTGAATTTTAATGATGGATGCACTCTGTTAACCTGATCTAATAGGGTTAGATAATCGGTGCAAGAGTCACAGACAATAAAAGTGTCATCCATATAACGGTAGTATAAATCCAATGACCATATAAGGGTGTTCCGGTGTTCACGTTCAAGTTTTGAAAGGAAGATGTCGGCCAGAAGGGGGCCTAGGGGAGAACGCATTGCGACTCCATTTATCTGTCTATAACAGATTCCATTAAAGAGAAATTGTACGTTGAAGGTGCAACGCAGAATCAATTCTTTTAGTTTATTCATCGGAATTCCAACATCAATGTTTCTCTCAGTGATGAAAGCAAAAATGAGTGTCACAGTCTCTAGCAATGACACGTTCGTGAAAATTGATTCTACGTCAAACGAAAGCATTAGTTTATCCTTCACGTTTAGGTTTGCTATTCGTTTGACAAAATCAAACGTGTCGTTGACAGTATGAATCGACAATTCTTTGCGAACCGGTACCAGCAAATCTGTTATTCACTTTGCGACAGAGCGAAAAGCGGAAGTAGACATGTCAACTATTCGTCGCATCGGAACGTTTATTTTGTGCACTTTTGGCAAACCATAGAGTCTCGGAGGGTGTGAGCTCCATGGAGTCAGCTTTGAGAAGAGTGCATCTTCTACGTGCTTTGACTTTCTTAATTCTCTCAAAATGTTAATGATTTTTGCTTCCTCTTGTGAAATGGTCTCTTGGATTGCGTCTTGTCGAAATTTGTTGGTGTCATTCAGGATCGTTGTCAGTTTAGAAACGTACTCAGAGTTGTTCATCAATACCCAGCCAGGTCCTTTGTCTGGTCTGGAAAGGATTAGTTCTGGGTTGGATAACAACTTGATTGCATCACCGTGCTTTTTTGTTAAGATGTTAGGTGTTTGAGACTTAAAGTTCCGATACTGATAGGCGAGATGTACTAACATGGTCTTAAACGTGTCAACTGTGAGTGAAGATGAAGGTGTCAAATCAACTAACTGGTGCATTAAGTTCTCAAATTGGCTCACCAGATGAATTTGCCAACATTTCGGCTGGGAGAGGCAGAATTTTGGCCCAAGTGCCAATGCATCTAAATGTAGTTGGTTCAGTTGCTGGCTAGATAGGTTATGCACATATATATCGGGATTGGCGGGAAACTTTGTTTCAGGTGAGCAAGGTTCCAAACTTTTGAGCAACTTAGTGTATCTCCTCGCTTTCTTCTTTTCCCATATTTCTTGCAAATAGCAATTGAAAGATTCGTGGTGATCATTGCTGAGGTCGTCGATCACCGACGAGTAGAGGGCACGCAATCGTTCCAGTTCTGGGAGTTGAGATTGGATGGCTTCCAGCAGATTATGAGCCTATCTTTTGAGAGATTTGGCGTTTGGACGAATGTGGATTCGTCGGAGCAATTTCCAATAAGCCTTTGGGTACTGGTTACGTTCTATGCAATCTTCGATGAAACGAATCTCAGTCTTCGCACCAGCAAGCAGGGTGTTAAACCTCAAGCACTTGTTGAGGTCATTAAACGCTTTGGGTTGCTTGCAATTTTTCAGTTCATAAATTATCATCATTTGAGTCAGAAGTAAGCAAATGCGCGAAGAATATTCTTTTCGATAATTCTCATCTGGTGTATACAATTACGAAGCAAAATATTGAAGGGAATAAAGCATCATGATTCATCCTCGTGTATTTGAGATTTACGGGAAACACAAAAGCTCTCGGACAGGACTGGCAGCTGGAGACTGAATCGGAGTTAAGGAAGCTGCCGACTATTTGATTGAGCCCCGTGTCAAGTAAGTTCTTTAACGATTGATTTAGCACATTCCTTGCACCGCTGAACATAACGACGAGCACTGTTGTGGAACTCAAGGAACACATTTCTATCTTGTCCATTGGAAACCTACTGTATTTCCCGCCACACTGCACACTAAGAGGTAGTACATTAACTTCAAAGCACTGATTTTAGCGTTTTGTCGCTACCGACTATTCAAGCTTACCTTGGCTCAATATGATGTAGTTTTTTACCCCGATTCCATTGGGATTCATTAGGTTCTAGTCCATACAGGACCTGTCTTTTTCCATCATTCTGTGAGCATAGCTCGGTGACACGTTGCTCCAATTGTAGTCTCAGTTTACTTGTTCGTATCGCTTTGTTCATGTGACGTTGCTGTTGATCGGCTTCCCAATCATCTACCAGTCTTTTCCGTTGTCGCGCCCAGTAAGTCCATCAATCAAGAACTATGGTCCAATTTGACTTGTTGGCTTCGTCTTCAGGTGATCATCTTTGCAGAGCGCAAGCAAGACGTGGATGCCATTCACGAATATCTGCTTCTCAAGGGTGTCCAGGCGGTCAGCATTCATGGGGGCAAAGATCAGGAGGAACGAGTTGCTGCAGTCACTGAATTTCGGGCGAAGCACCGCGATGTTCTCGTGGCCACTGACGTTGCAAGTAAAGGTCTCGATTTCCCGGACATCAATCATGTGATTAATTACGACATGCCAGAAGATATCGAAAACTATGGTGAGCGAGAGTGGGCTTTTTTTCCTCTCATTCAATCATTCTACACATTTGATAGGTGTGATGAACACCCCATCTATTGTGCCGCAATATATTTCAATTAGGTAGTAGGAACAAACAAAGAGCAAACATAACTAATAGTATACCTTGTTTTATATCGTGCATTATTGAGATCGTGGTTACATTGAGAGACTAAGTGAGATGGACAGCAATAACGGAATTCGCAGCACAGAGGGCAGCAAGTGCTTGCCACAAGCTCTCAATCCTCCTGAACACATTATCAGATCATGTAAAACGCTGTTGTTTCCCTCCGCTCTCCTGGGCTTCGCATGCGGTGAAATTATGCCTGCACATTTCCTAGAGATTGTGTAACTTAAGCATTAATCGTTTGTGTCCTTGACGTAAAGCTCCTGACTTGGGAGCAACGTTTTGGCACGGTTAGTCAGCTTACCAAACCGAAAGATTGGTTCTCGATCGTGCATGCTCGCCTCTCGGAGAGCTTCCATTGAATCCTGCCCGACAGGTTTATTGAAAGGTCGTGACGCTCTGAAAATTCTTTTCTCTCTTTTCAACCATTAGTCCTTTCATCCATAATCCCAAAACTTTTTCTCTCCCTCTTCATTTTGTCTCCCTATTGTACTTTTCCCTCCGGCTGCATAGGTTAACGTAGCTGAGTGCATCGCTCATCACACACGCGCGCGTTCGTATGACTGGTGTAATCTTGCAAAACCTCAGCAATCTATGGAGCCTGACCGACATACGGTTATCGCTCTTTTTTACTGTACAGAACGTCATCACGGTCACTAGCCACCGAGGAACTGCGTCGGTTAATCCCCTATGAACTTGCCTTTCATCTTTCATGTCTGATCGTGTCCGCGGCTTAGTGTTGTAGTAGGCTGTTATTTGTTGTTTCCCTCTATCTCTTCGATGCAGCACTGAACTGCTTTTTCCACCCAGACCACCTCCGTTGATTCTGATCCTCAAGTGATTAATTTAGTGGGCTGTGTTTTCAGACATTGGGCATGGTCTACTGAAGCTGTAGGTTGGTGCCCAGGCGATAACATGCCGAAAAGATATGATACTCGCGTATGCTGTCTTCGTAGATGGGGCTCTCGGAGTCGACCACGTCATTAGTTAAGACCTTATCTCACATTGCGCAGTCGGTTACGCTTTTCTATTTTGTCTCGCATTTTGCTTTTAACTTTTCCTCCTAACGCTTGTGCCCTGTACTTTCCAGCTGTCTTCGTTGCGCTTATGTATATACCGGTACATATGTACTACTGCAACTATTTTCCCCAAATCTCTGTGTCTTACCATTACGATGTATGTTGTGGTAGACAAGTCTTCCGTGCTTCGATATCTGAATCATAGTTATTAAAAAAACATGGCTGAGTGGAACAGGCAACTACTCCACTGATCACGAGTCCGTACTGTGGCTCGACTATCGCCTTGAAGTACATCCTAAAGCCCATATGACAGTCTATCGGTTCCTATAAAGATCCTTGGTATTAAATGAGTCTGACTGGTTTTTGATGGGATGCGCAGTCGAAGCCATCGATAATAGCACTCAGTGCGTTCGAAATATTGTGTTTCTCTTCTGTTGCATGCACTCAACACCACAAGCACTGTCAGTAGCGTTTTGAAGAACTGCCTTGCTTACTTACTTGCCACATTCGATTATATCTTCTCCACTCGCCTTGTTAATGAATATCGTCCCGTTACACCCGATCGGTAAATCATGCGGCTTGTCCCAGTGTAGTTTAGCTCTCCTCCCGTTTCTGTTGTCATCCCTCTTCATGCATTGCGTTTCCACTAATTGCCACCCATTAGTCAGTAGTCGCAGTACCTTCAGCTGTCCTGTTCTTTCTTCTTGTGTGCACTTCTGGTCTCAGTTCACCGCATTGGTCGAACTGGTCGTGGAGTTCATCGCGGATTGGCCACCACGTTTATCAATAAGTCAGTGGATGAATCCACCTTACTCGACTTAAAGCATCTACTCATCGAGGCGACTCAGCGCGTCCCCGAATTCCTTGTCGAATTGGTCTCCGCCACCGAGCACGAGCTGGAGATGGGTGGCGAAGTCGGCTGCGCCTACTGCGGTGGGTTGGGCCATCGCATCACTCACTGTCCCAAACTGGAAGCGATGCAAAACAAGGCCGCTGGCAATCTGGGTCGCAAAGATTTTCTCTCCTCCGCAGACTACTAAACGGGAGGCGCCGTTGCTCCCTTGTGGTGCATCGCAACTCAACAATCCCAGCATCTCCTATAGTTGCTCGGCGTTTCGTCGCCATTGTACACATGTATACATTCTTTCCTTATTAACCTTCTCGGTTCTTCTACGCAGTATTCTCTTTAATTGATATGATCAGTCAACTAGTAAATTTGCATCGGCCGAATGCGTTCTACACTTCGCGCATACGCTTCAGTTTTGTTTCAAAGCTACCGGCATAAAACAGGCGCTACTCTGGCCGTTAGGGTCGGATTTGCCTAATTAGTTGATTTTAAACCCCTGGTAGGTGCGACGTCGTCTTGATCCTTCCACTGAAATCACAGCTTTTGTCGTCCGCAAATAAACCGATTTTTTTTCTGGAATCTGTCGTAACTAATCTGCATTTGCTTTCTTTCCTATCGCATTACTATGGCTCCCTGTGCTTAGTGGAGTTTACGGGGCCGAACTTCAATATGGCTGCAGATAAAGTAGGGTTGTCTATTTCTGGTGCATTTAAAGCCGGTCTTTTAGTATGTTATTCCTCAAGGATATTTAGTCTCGAACTATCACGCTTCTGTCAAGATATGGCAATGTTATGGGTTTGTCGGTCACCTTTGTCGAGCAGTACCTGAATTGACACTCCCGACTCAAGTCTCCTAGTGCCTTACATTGATACAATAGTAAGGACTAACATTACTAGAACATGTGTTATGCAAAGTAAACCCGTGACCTCAATTTGAATGGGACCAAAACGCTAAAATCGCCCAATCGATAGCTAGAAATAAGTAACTAGATCCGGCTCACTCACTTAACTATGGTCTAGGCACGGAGTTGCAGTGGACCCAGTTACCTTCACTGACTATACCAAGTTGATAACACGAAACGAAGGTAATCCAAAGTGGGTATAAGGTCAAAAACTTTCGCCCACAGTAAGATCGAGCAAAGCCAAAACTGCTACATGAAAACGTTTAGTGTGTGCTGCATAACCGCTACTTTGCGATTGTATCACTTCTGTCAGAGCCTCAAATCGCCGGTATGGCGTATTCTGTATCTCCTATTTGTAATGACGACACGCGCAGCCCTGCTTAGTCATTCAGGAAGATATTGCATGCCTTTTGGCGATGCCATCAGCCCATCACCTTGAGATTCCCTTCCAATCAGTTTCAGCGTTGGAGAGCAACACAGGCCAAGGCAGGTAGGTACGCGAAACACATGACCTATTTACTGTGGTTAGTTCATTTTCAATGGCTATATATATATATATATATATATATATTGATCGCAATCTGTGTACATATATTGTGCCATCGGAAGCATGGCGGAATAGGAAAACAAGGTTGCTGTAAAAGAAGAAAACAATATTTTTGTCCATTTTTCCACTCCCAGCTCTCGTTTTTTTGATGTTTTTTATTGGAGGAAGGAGGGGAAATCACTTCAACAAGCAAAGATACACGCCCGCCACTGCGTTCGGTTTCGAGCCATGATTTCCAACGTTTCCAGCCAACTGCACTCAGCATACTTGGGATCCTATCCAGGGAGTCGGGAGGAACCAACCGTAGCCAACTGTCTCGTCAGCTTTTTCATCCTGCTTCTCCAAGTTGTAGGCTGTCCACTACACCGCCTCCTCCAACCCTGTCCAGCGACTGCGAACAAGGTGCGACGCGGAAGACGCTGAACGGGCATACGCAGTATGTGTCCGAGCCATCGTAGTTGGCGAAGCGAGACAATCGTCTCGAGGGAGTGGCTGTCTCCACCCAAGACGCGCTGTCTGACTTCAGCGTTGGTTACGTGGTTTAGCCACCCACACACGGGCGATGGACCGCAAGCAACGGTTCTCGAAGCCAGACAGTCGACGTAGATCATCGGTACGAGCAGGCCAAATATCGCAACAGTACAGCACAGACAGTAGCACTATAAACCCGTCCTTTGCTGGAGAGACGGATGTCGTGACCGCGCCATAAATGCCTCAGCCTGGAGAAGCGGGACGAGCTCTTGAGATACACATCGAAATCTCGTTTCCAACAGCCGCACTAGCAGTTATGCAGCTTCCCAGGTGAACAAAACTCTGTACTGCTTCTAACATTTCCTCATCGACGATGAGTGCAGGTAGGGGCGCGCACCAGTTTTGAAAAAGCACTTTGCACATGGATGGCGAAAGTGCATGCCATACTTCAACGCTTCAATTGCCAGGCGGTTAAGTGCAAGTTGGACGGCCTGCGGACCGTCACCCAACAAGACGTATCTGCGTAATCCAAATCAACCACCCGATTACCTGGGAGGAGCTCAACGCAAACGTTCAACGAGTCTTCTAGGGCATTTTTGAGGACATCCTCAATGGCAAAGTTGAAGAGGAATGGAGAGATAGGGCGTCCTTGTCGAACCCCATTGGTGACAACAATGGAAGGCGTAAGCCTGCCATAAACCCTAACTCTACCCGAGGTCAGACTATACAGAGCACGCAGAATGGAAACGAACTTCCCGGGAATACCATTCCTCAACAGACAGTACCACAATGCAGCCCTGTCGACAGAATCGAAGGCAGCACGGATATCCAGGAACACAACAATCCTTGGGTTTTGATACACATGGCGGAGCTCGAGAATCTGGCGGAGTGTGAAAATCTGATCAATGCATCCGCGACCAGGGCGGAACCCTGCCTGTTCTTCTCGCTGTAGTGATTCACGCGTTGGGGATAGTCTGCGAAGAATGATGGACACCAGAATCTTGCAAACGACGGGAACCAAACTTATGCCCCTGTAATTGGAGCAATTTGTGCACAGGCCGTTTTTGAAGATGGGGTCGACTACCGACTCACTCCAGGATGATGAAACCTCTTTTACCCAGGCTTCTGAGAAAAAGCGGTAAGTTCTCGAGCCAGGGAAGTGCCCCTATCTTTAAATAGAGCAGGAGGTAGACCATCAGTCCCGGGTGTCTTATATCGTTTTAAACAGCAGAGTTCCCGCCAAATTTCCCGTGAGGTGGGATAGTCCACTCAGTACCAGTGCGCGCCCCAGGGGAAACAGATGGAGCTGGCGACCAGGAAAACTGCGAGTGAAAATGTTCGGCCCATCGCTCTAACCCTCGTTGAAGATTAGTGATTAGGGAGCCATCATCTTCGCAGATTGTTTCGCTTATTCCTGATCGGAAGCCTTCGGGGACTCGGATGAAGTGGAACAGTTTTCCGGTATTACCAGAGAGATTAGCAAGCTCAAGCTCTAGCATGTTCACATCACCAGGTCTCACGGTCGTTCTGCAAGCTCCTGCGCAAAGCTCGATCCAGGGATCGGCGTTCCTCACTACAGCTGGGGTCGGCTGGGATCAACTAGCATCTGTCCATCAGCGACAAGGAGGTAGTGGTGATCCAGCTTTTCGGCGGGTGACAAGCAAATCCACAACTGACTGTACTGGCAGAAATTAAAGCGTCTTTGATGCGCATCCATTGCGAATTGAGACCATCGTCAGAGGATGACGTAAATAGTGTTGACAGAGAAGCCTGCCACTTGGCTAACGTCGCAGGATTTTGTAGCTTTACGACATTTGGTCGATAGTGCGTACGTCTGCATGATCCTCCGAAACCCATGCATATTTTGGCGCGAACCAATGCGTGATCGGAGTCCAGACAAGTTGATCAATACGATCGACTTTCTGTTACGCTTCCGCTCCAGCTGTATCTTATTGCTATGTGGTCAAGCTGGGACCATTCTTGTGTTTGAGAAGGCGGACGTCAGGTAGCAGTCTGTCTTTTCGAATGACGAAAACTTGTACTCGAAAGAAACAAGCGATGATCAGAACAAAGCATCACTGACTGTCTCCATTGTCTGATCGGCTGTTACTAAGGCCAAAACTACCCCCAAGATGGTGCTCGCATGGTGCCAGGCGGCCCACTTGTGTGTTAACGTCTCTGGTAATTATGACAATGTCAGACTTCTTAGCGGAACGCAGAAGCTCATGTAGCCGTTGATAAAAGCAATTCTTGACTGCATCCGGGCTGCAGTCTGTAGGTGCGTAGGCGGAGATGACAAACAAGGCACGCGTAGTATCTCAACACCTCTTTATCTTACATGAGCCTCCTAGTCTGACTGCACCTAGTTGACTGGGATCCAGTCAAGCAAAGCGACCTCAGTGCAACCCCGACACCAGCTTGGCCAGAAGTGGTATTTGACATCAGAGTTTACCGGAGATGTCATTCTGATGACGGTACTGGCGTCTTGCAACCTGGTTTCGGAAAGGCAACAGATGTCCACCGAGAGTGTCTCAAGCGTGCGCGCCAGACATGCTTGTCGTCCGATCTGCATCAGAGTGCGCACATTGAACGCTGCAAGGCCGAATGGAGAACCTGGACGAAAGAAAGCTTGGGCTTCGGTGGAGTGTGAGAATGTCGTGACTACCGGAGAACGAACACCAAAATTTTGGCTCAGAACTCTGTCAGATGCGACCAGTGAGCTGTTGTTGACGGTGACCAGGGAAGCTATAGGAGTAGTTGAAGAACGGGACGTGGGGCGATCTGTAAGCGAATGTTGAGCAGCAGAGACAGTAAAGCTAGTAGACATAGCAAGAGGGAAAGCAGTAGTGCAATCCATCCATTCCAAAGATGTACTAACGTTTGTTACCAAATATCGACTGTCGTACTTCGATATCACTCAACTTATGTTCACGTCAAGTCATCTTGGCCACTTCACGTTCGTTGGAATTGCTAACCCTTGACGCTATCGATGTTAGTGATGCAAACACACTCCTCAGTCAGCTCGTCATCGTCCTTATTATTTGTTGCGTTTTCAGATCATCGCATTCGGATTTTGCATAAACAGGCGTATCTTTTGTAGACGAATGCCTCTAAGCAAGCGACCGGATGACACACGATGTAGGTAGCATTACTGGTGTAGATGTTGCATGTTCATCAGACGGCGCAGTGAATTACCACTAGGTTAGTTGATCCGAGTAGATCATTTGACTCATTGGTACTCCTGGAGCATCTGGCAAAGGTCAAGTTGAGGTTG